ATGGAATAAAAAACTTCATTTGGAATTGCTGAAACTTAAATTCAAGAGGTCTGAGTATGAACCATGCGTTTATATTAGATCTACAGGAGATAAAGTAATTATTCTTGCCATATATGTAGATGACATTTTATTGTTCTGGAATAATGTTGAGGAATTAAGGAAGGTTAAAACAGATCTCACAAACAAATTTGAGATGAAGGACCTTGGCACAGCGAAGTTGATGTTGGGAATACGAATAGCACAAGATAGTGAAGGGATCAAACTGGATCAGAAGGGATACATAGAGAAGGTTATTCGTACATTTGGAATGGAGAACTGTAAACCAGTTGCTACTCCAGCAGTACCAGGACAAAGGCTAGAGAGGCCACAGCTTGATCAAGAACTTGATGAAAAAGTACCGTATCGCGCATTGATTGGTTCACTGATGTACCTTGCTGTTTGTACGCGCCCTGACATAGCACACACAGTAAGTCAGCTCAGTCAGTTTAACAACAGCTACGGAGACGAGCATTGGATAGCTGCAAAGAGAGTGCTCCGCTATTTGATGGGAACCAAGGATCTAGCATTATTCTATAGAAGGGGAAACCAAAATGAGTTTGTATTAGGTTATGCTGATGCAGATCACGCCGGAGACTTTGATAGAAGATCAAATTCAGGTTGGGTATTTTTATCTCAAGGAGGAGCTATTTCTTGGGAGAGCAAGAAACAACGTACAGTGGCAATATCGTCTGCAGAAGCTGAGTATGTAGCGTTATCAGAGGCTGCAAAAGAGGCAATTTTCATTCGCAGGTTTATTGCAGAATTAAGAGATGGACCCAATCCCGCAATCTCAATTTTCACTGATAGTCAGTCGGCTATGGCAATTGCTAAGAATCCTGTACATCACCAGCGTACGAAGCATGTGGATGTAAGATATCACTTTGTACGTGAGGCGATTGAGAATGGTGACATTCATTTGAGGTACAAGGAAACTAATAGAATGACAGCTGATGTTTTGACAAAGTGTTTGTTGAGAGGTAAATTTGAATGGTGTGTGAAAAGCATGGGTTTGAGTTGTGTGTGAATAAGATGGCTGTTTATATGGTAGGTATACTAACAGGCATGAGATTAAGGAGGAGTGTTAGAGCGACAAATTGCTAGGAGTTTATATTTGCGTGTAATCTCATTGCTGTTATTCGTATGGTTTGTGGTTGTCAGAATTATTTGAATATACTGACTGACATGCACTTCAAGTTTTGGTTGTTACTTGCTTAGATACGTTGTTTGTACTCATGTGTTCTATTTTGTTTGTTATCTAGTCTTCGATCAGATAGCACCGTACAATATGTCGACTTTAAAATAAAAGGCAAACACGCTTCTGATAGCTTTTTTGTTTGTAGAGCACGTTCTATTCAGAATTTAGGCCTATTAAGGCAATCCGCTACTCACGCCGATATAAGCGCTTTTCCGCATTTATGTGAGCTTTCACGCGAGCTTTGTTATGTCGATGCAAAACCTTCGTTAATAATTGGTGTAGATAATTGGGCTTTGACTATCGCATATGAAACCAGACAGGGTACTAAGTCGCAACCTGTAGCTATAAAAACTGCTCTAGGATGGGTTGTGTATGGGTTTCCGAGTAGCATAACTAAGCCTCTACAATATGCTTACCACGTATCTCTTCGGGAGCAGGACACTTCAGATCCACGTCAACGTTTAGAATTGATGATCAAAGAGCAATATAAATTAGATGCTATAGGCATTACGAAGTATGAGCCTCGTAGTACCGAGGATCAACGCGCTCTCCAAATTTTGTCAAACACAGCGCGTCGCTTACCAAATGAACGCTTTGAAGTTGGACTTTTATGGAGGGACGATGAACCTGTGGTACCCGACAGTTTTCCACTGGTTTTAGCTAGATTTAGGAGCCTTGAAAGGCATATGATACGTGATCCACAATATGCAGAAAAATATCGACAAAATATTCATGATACTCTCCGAAAAGGTTACGCTGAAAAGTGTGAGTCTATATCAGCCAAATCAGTTTGTTGGTATTTTACCTCACTTCGGTGTTGTGAATCCTAACAAACCGACAAAGCCTTAATTCATTATTGCTTACGGGACCTGATCTTCTGCAATCTCTACTTGGAATTTTGATGCGTTTCAGAGAGGGGAAGGTAGCCCTAACAGCTGATATTAGGGAAATGTTCGCTCAAATCAAAATTCGGAAAGAGGATAGGGATGCGTAACATTTTATCTGGCGCGACCACCCTTCATCCCCAATATCTATTTACCGAATGTCGTCCATGACCTTTGGAGCCTGTTCTAGCCGCTCCACCGCCATGTACATAGTCAATCTAAACGCATCAGAATTTCAGGAGGAGTTCCCGGACGCTGTAAATGCCATCAGAGCTGATACATACATGGACGATTATATAGGCAGTATCGATACGACTGAGGGTGCAGCTCGTTTGGCAGCCGACATTGTCGAGGTCCATAAGCGCGGAGGTTTCCTCATGCGTGGCTGGATCTCTAACGACCCAGGTGCACTAAGTCTGTTTCCAAAGGATTTGTTACCCGAGGTCAGCAGTAGCGTAGATCTCGGGATACCTAACTTCTCTAGAACCTTGGGATTAATTTGGCAGCCCTCGCTGGATATTATTGGATTTAATTTAGACCCGAAAAATGTTTTGTCAAATAACCTGACAAAGCGCCTAGTTTTAGCTGACGTGATGCGTATTTAGACCCGTTAGGAATCCTAGCATCTTTAGTAGTTAAGGGTCGTATCCTTTTTCAGAACCTGTGGCGAAAAGGTCTGGATTGGGACGAGAGTCTATCGGACGCGGATTCATGCATTTGGCGAGACTGGTTCGATAACCTGAATTCTTCAACTAACCTAGCGATTCCTAGGTGTTATAACACCTCAAATAGCGAAGTGGCTGAAATCGAACTGCACGTATTTTGCGATGCTAGTGAACTGGCTCACGTTGCCGTCGCTTATTGGCGATTCATTTTCAATAACGCGAAAGTTCGACTAGCTCTTATTGCGAGCAAAGCACGTGTCTCACCTTTGAAGCCGTCTTCTATACCACGTCTTGAGCTGCAGGGTGCCCTGATAGCCTCTCGGTTAGCAGGCGTAGTTTGTAAAATCTCATCGCCGTAAACCTGACCGTCGCTATTTCTGGTGCGACTCAATGACAGTTCTTGGATGGCTAAGAAGTGATGCGAGGAAGTACAAGCCCTTCGTTTCGCACCGTGTAGGCGAAATAATAGAAAACACTCATATTAGTGACTGGCGTTGGGTTCCAACAGAGCTAAACGTAGCAGATGATGCAACTAGCGGCAAATGTAAAGTGCTGAATGTTGAGTCGCGCTGGATAACTGGTCCGAAGTTCCTCCTATCTCCTTCCTCTGAATGGCCTACCGAAACTGAAATTATAACTTCCACTTCAGGGGAAGAAGAGCTAAAGGCTTTATTTCGTAATCAACCGACTCAGCCACTCGTTATGTTAACGTCAACCTCTTGCGTCGTAGAAACAGTCAATTTTAATAGTTCAGGACAGTTGCCTATACCATTATCAGTAGATGCATCTCACTTAAGCTCTTGGGTTAGAATGTTAAGAGCAACTGCACGACTACACCAGACCATTGCAACCATCTTCCATAAACCCATACATCAGGGACGATCATTTTCGAACCTACTTTTCAGAGACATAGTAACTGACTTTTTCAGCACTCGTCGACAGATTAACAATAAGTGGCCGTCAACTGTTCCTGGTACCGTAAGGCCTTTAGACGCAGAAGCGATTGATCGCGCCGAATACCATGTGCTGCTAGATAGTCAGTTGGTCACATTTAAAACGGAAATGTCATGTTTGGTTGGCCATGTACCTATTTCAAAGAAAAGCCGCATCTCAAAATTGTCTCCGGTATTAAACAAAAAGGGTCTAATCTGTGTATCAGGACGCATATCTGCAGCAGACATCGAAGAACAAGTTAAGTTCCCAACCATTCTCGACGGTAAGAATCCCGCTGTCCGCCTACTCATTCATCATCTGCATACAAAGTTCGCGCACGCTAATACAGAGACTGTACTTAATGAACTTCGGTAGCACAATTGGATCTTGGGAGTCCGAAAGGCGATCAGATCGATTATCCGAGCCTGCCAAACGTGTAAAATGTTACGAGCTCTGTTTTTACAGCCTCCGATGGGAGACCTTCCAGATGTACGGCTCGCCAATCACAAAAGACCCTTTGTACACGTAGGGATTGATTACTTCGGACCTCTACAAGTCACAGTCAGACGCAGGCGGCAAAAAAGATGGGGCGCACTACTGACGTGCTTGGTCACCAGAGCGGTGCACTTAGAAGTTGTGCACAGTCTATCATCTGAGGCCGCAATCATGTGCTTACATAGATTTATGGCTCGCCGAGGAACACCGGATATTATCTACTCAGACAACGGGACGTCGTTCAAGGGTGCTGATCGGCTATACTTGTATATCGCGATGTGTCGACACCGTTCTCACTATAACCATACTGAATATATAAAACAGATAGCTCTCCAATGGTAGGCTGCGACCATGGCCGCAATACCAAAGTATCACTCGCACGTTGCTAGTCAAGTCAAGACAAGCATATAGATTCTAGCGTAATATGTTTTTTAGCTGAGGAGCTCGATGTCGGGATTAGCACATTCGGTGAGCGATGCAAACTTTTACAAAGTTGTAAAAGTTCATAAGTATGACTTAACTTATAATGGTGGACGGGTGACTAATCAATTAGGCGTTGTGGGTCATGGAATGGCCCAATCTGCTTATTCTTACATAGGGGAGGCTAGTACCACATCAGTGGGGCCATTATTGGGATCACCGGTTTGTCCTACTGGTGGGACTATGATGTTACCCTTGGTCCTACTGGACTTAGGTGATTATTAAGGTATCGATAAATGCTGGTATTTAGATGACGATTACAATACTCAATACTTTTACAATTTATTACAATTCAAATAAAACAATCAATTCAAATAAATTTTGTTTATTTACACAGGTAAATCTCGCGATTTAAAGCTTTTATTTTATGTAATGACGTTATAAATTCATAGTCAAAGGAAGTTAAAGGAAATTTTTCTTTTTGTCTTTTTAGCGCATTTAAATAAAAGCTTGATTTCAAAAGTTTTTTTACTTTTAATTGTTTTTATATATTTATTTGACCTACTATTACGGTATTGCTACTATTACAATAATGTTCTTAATAAGTCAGTTTATTTTCAAAAATAAGAAAAGGTATAACATAGGGATTAGTAGAACAAGAGATATTATAAATATTCAGCAATGCTTTTAAAATTTTTGATTAATCATCATTAGTGATTATTTTTGGTATTATTTTATACAAGCCTAGAATAGTAGTTGCGTGAGTACATAGTAGAAACAAGTTTAATTTTACGTACTTGGTTTTTGTTGACATTGTGCAGAGGAGGCCATTTCTGGACATTCACAAATAGGTACACAACACGATGTTTCATCTAGTCGACGATAACCAGACTTGCACACGCAACCGGGCTGAGGAGGTGGCGCATTTGTACAATTGTATCTTGCTACTAAAGCGTTGCATGTGTCCGGAGGACAATTTGGCTTCTCTTGCACAAATTCTTCGTTTGGATCTTTACAGGTCTGCGGTTGACAATCTGGTGAAGAAGCCAATTGTGGACATTGACATATAGGTACGCATTTCGATGTTTCATTGAGGCGCTTATATCCTGATTTGCATACACAGCCAGGTTGAGGAGGTGGCGCATTTGTACAGTTGTATCTTGCTACTAAAGCGTTGCATGTATCCGGAGGGCAACTTGGTTTCTGCTGCACGAATTCTTCATTTGGATCTTCACAGGTTTGCGGTTGACATTCTGGTGAAAAGGCCAATTGTGGACATTTACTGATAGGTATACATGTAGATAATTTATTTAGAGTGAGCGCAAATCGTCAGTGGTCCGGTGCGCCAGATTTGTAAATACGCTCCTGCCTCACCATTGACAATATTATTCCAAATCTTCGTTTCATGATGATGACTTGGAAGGCAAACAAACACATGGCCCGCTTGATGGTAAGCTGCGACCATGCCCTATGGACGCCCGCAATACCGGAGTATCAACCGCACGTTGCTAGTCAAGTCAAGACAAGCATATAGATTCTAGCGTAATATGTTTTTTAGCTGAGGAACTCAATGGCGCAGTGGTAAGCGCTAATGACTTAAGTCATAATGGTAGATGGGATGGGTGACTAATGATGGTGTTCCGGCGTTTCAAAGGCAGGCTACCTGTCTCCACTCCGCGCCACACGTCGCCGACTAAACGTTTTATTTAGAATTTGTAATTATTTTATGTTTTATGTAACACAGATAGTGTTAGACTATAAAGTATATATTTCTTGTCTGAATACAAATAACTAAATAATCAACTATTCGTTGTGGATCATGGAATGGCAGAATCTACTTATTTTTACATAGGGGATGCTAGTACCACATAAATGGGGACATTATTGGAATCAAGGGCTCGTGGTCCCACCGGTTTGTCTTACTGGTGGGACTACGGCATACCAGTATGTTACCCTTCGTCCTTCTGGTCTAGGGTGATTAATATGCTATCGATAAATGGTTGTATTTAGATAATGATGTTTTTACGGGATGTCTCTTTTACTAAATATGGGATACCTTTTCTTAAATTAAATCACTCCAGTTTAGGTATTTCCTATCGCGGTGAGTAGAATAGTATGTGCCTAAGTAGATACTTACTACACTGGCTAACCGGGATACAATTGCCGGATTCGTCTCTCGCATAGCCATCGTCACAGTAGCACTTTTTATTACACACTTTGTTGACTATCGGACAGTTAGTGCGGTTCTGTTTATCGATATTGATGCATTCGTTGTCGCATGCACTACCGCAATCGTAAAATTCATTCTTCTTGTTACACATATCTGAAATTGTAGTAAAACAAAGAAATATATTTTTTATAATGACTTATTGAAATAAAAATGACTTTAAAAATTTCTTAATTTTGAACTTTTATAAATTTAAACAAATGCTAGGAAAAAAAATCAAGAAAAACATACACTACATCCAGTATATAGTGCGTCCGCTTCTTCGGAAGACGTGGGTTCACATCCCGTCTAATGCCTTGTCTGAGTCGATTTTTTTTTTATAAATTTTCTATTTACATTTATAAATTATTTTTAAATTATCTTACCACACTGCTTTTCAGTGATACATGTTCCAAGATAGTTCCTGTAATATCCTGGGGCGCAAACGCACTTCTTTTTGCAGGGCTGTAGGCTATGAAGGCAGGCAACTTTAATATGACGGTTCCTGCATGTTTTTTCTGGCGGGCATTTTTTGACACAGCTTCTGATTTCGTTTGCACCGCAGCGTAACACAGGCTCTAAAATAATAAGACCAAAGCGTTAAATATCATATTATTTAAATAAAGAAAGAGTGGAGAATCGACAGTATCCGTTGATATAAATTATGAGAGAGGTCCCGCCATTTGACGGTGTTTTTTTTTTCTGTTAAAAGGGTGGCAAACAAGCCTATGACCAATCCTCTACCTCGTAAATCCCTGGAACCTTACTCAGTGTCAGAAAGTCAACACCATCAAAAAAGGCAGTGTTATTTTCTATAAACTTCTGTAAAGTGGATGTTATATCCCCAGACGGGCGCTCTAATTCGAGCGCAAAATCCGCAATACCCTACCTTTTTGTTTCCGTCCCCATTTAGGAAGGTTCACGAAAATATGATACTTACAAGCAATTATTATTGTATTGTTACTTAAACATGAAACTGCTAGATTTATCTGGCTATCTGGTGTAGGTTGTCACATAGACGGAGTCTGTGTGAACAATTTTAGTTATGTTGATGATATGGTGCTGCTGAGTCCTTCAGTGGGTGCTTTCAGAAAATTATTGGGAATTTGTGAACGTTATGCAGAAGCTCACGGGCTTTAGTATAACGCGATCAAAAGTGAGTTTATGGTGTTCAAAGCTGGGACAATATGTATGAGTCCTGATTTACCTGTCAAACTTTGTAATGCAAATTTAAAGAGAGTGTTTCAATATAAATACCTTGGCCACTGGGTTACAGATACTTTAAATGATGATATAGATATTGATAGAGAACGTAGGGCGCTGGCGGCAGCTCAATGTAATATGCTGGCTCGCAGGTTCGCACGTTGTACAAAGCAAATAAAAATTACACTTTTCAAAGCGTATTGCCAGTCTTTCTACACGTGTAGCCTGTGGCTCCGATTTATGCAGAGGGCTTATAGCGTACTACGGGTCCAGTACAATAATGCTCTCAGGGTGCTGTTGGGTTTGCCGTGGTGTTGTAGTGCCTCAAGTATGTTCGCAGATGTGCAGATTGACGGCTTTCATGCCATAATCAGGAAACGCTGCGCGGCACTGCTGAGCAGAATACGTGGCAGCATCAACAGCATCCTGTCGGCACTGGTTGACAGGTGGGATTCTCCACTGTTGGAGCGCTGGTTGCATTTGCATGCGAAGCCCCCGGGCCGCATGTTTATTTGTAATCTATTTTATACTTTACTAACATAGTTTTTAAGGCACATTGTTACAAATATTCTATGGACTGTCTAATATTGTCTGAGAATAAATTATTATTATTATAAATCTAAAGGAATCTTTTACTATATGCAGGATAGAGGATTCGAACATGCGACTTTCGTCTTCCGTCCGATATATACCTATATCTATCAATACATTTCTTTAGTCTTACCTACCTGATTATTATTTTTTGTGGAAGGTAACATGGTGATGCATTATGACACCTGTAGTAGATATCAAAGAAAATATTTACTAGAGCTATGATATGAACCTACACTGCTATATTAAACTTCGAATTAAAGTTCAAAAACTTTGAAAAAAAAGCTGTGATTTAAATGGCTTAATAAATTATCTAAATGTACACATTTAGATAATTTATTTAGCCGCTTATAGCCAAGTTTGCATACACAACCGGGTTGAGGAGGTGGCGCTTTTGAACAGTCGTATCTGGCCAGTATAGAAATACATGTATCTGGCGGACACTTAGTATCACCCATCCCAACGACATTAACGGCAGAAATATACTTTTTTTACATGTTGTGTTGTGACGCGATGGCTTTCATACATTTAGTACGGTTAGAACTATACTTCTATATCGCGTTGTGTCGACACTGTTCTCACTATAACCGTACTAAATATATAAAACAGATAGCTCTCCAATGCTTCACAATACAGTGCGACAGATAAGTGTAGTACTGCCATAGTTCTGCCAAAAAACTCTCCCTTTGCTTAAATGAAACGTCAAATGTTTGACAGGAAAGTAGGTAGAACAGTGTAAGTATGAGAAAACGAAACTGTTGATTTAACCATCTTCCTCGCAATTTTTCCATATTTTCATATGGATGCCTACAATACCGGAGTATCACCCTCACGTTGCATGTCAAGTCAAAACAAGCATATAGATTCTAGCGTAATATGGTTTTTAGCTGAGGAGCTCGATGGCGCAGTGGTTAGCGCATTCGGTGTGCGATGCAAACTTTTACAACTTGTGACTTAAGTCATAAAGGTGGATGGGTGACTAATCAACTGGGCGTTGTTTCTTACATAGGGGAGGCTAGTACCCCATTAGTGGGGACATTATTGGGATCGAGCGCCCGTGGTCCCACCGGTTTGTCCTACTGATGGAACTACGGTATACAAGTATATTACCCGTGGTCCTACTGGACTAGGGTGATTAATAGGGTATCGATAAATGCTTGTATTTAGATGACGATGTTTTACGGGATGTTTCTGTTACTACATATGGGATACCTTTTCTTTAATTAAATGACTCCACTTACGGTAATTCCTATCGCAATGAGTACAATAGTAAGTAATTAAATAGATACTTACTACACTGACTAACCGGGATACAATTGCCGGATTCGTCTCTCGCATAGCCATCGTCACAGTAGCACTTTTTATTACACACAATGTTGATTATCGGACAGTTTGTGCGGTTCTGTTTATCGATATTGATGCATTCGTTGTCGCATGCACTACCGCAATCATAAAATTCATTCTTTTTGTTACACATATCTGAAATTGTAAAAAAACATAAAAAAATATTTTTTACCAGTGGCCCGCCCTCGCTTCGCTTCGGAGTAGAGCTATAGTGTAGAATTAGATTTTTTCTCACCTTTTAAACCTTCCCTAGACCTCCACGAACATTTCAAGACCAAGATAAGATAAATCCGAGCAGGCGTTCTCGAGTTTTAGCGAGACTTACGAACAGCAAATGATGTTTATATATAGACTAGCTGACCCAGCGAACTACGTACCGCCCTAAAAAAATAGGGGTTGTCCAGCGGACAAAATTGTGTATCTAAACCATTCTCAGATCCCCTTGAACACACACAAAAAATTTCACCAAAATCGGTCCAGTCGTTTAAGAGAAATTCAGTGACATACACACTCACAGAAGAATTATATATATAAAGATAATAACGGTAGACTAAAATATATAACTTTCTTCTTCTTTAATAATCTTTCTTTAAAACTAATTTCTCAATGTTTAACTTTTATAAAGAAATTCAATAAAAACATACACTAGATCCAGTACATAGTGCGTCCGCTTCTTCGGAAGACGTGGGTTCACATCCCGTCTCATGTCTTGGCTAAGTGGATTCTTTTCTAATAAATTTTCTTTACATTTATAAATTATTTTCAAATTATCTTACCACACTGCTTTTCAGTGATACATGTTCCAAGATAGTTCCTATAATATCCTGGGGCGCAAACGCACTTCTCTTTGCAGGGCTGTAGGCTAAGAGGGCAGGCAACTTTAATATTACGGTTCCTGCATGTTTTTTCTGGCGGGCATTTTTTGACACAGCGTCTGATTTCGTTTGCACCGCAGCGTAACACAGGCTCTAAAATAATAAGAACAATACGTTAAATATCATATTATTTGAATAAAGAAAATATTGAAGAATCGGTAGTATCCGACGATATAAATTATGAGAGAGGTCCCGCCATTTTGACAATTATTAGTTTTTCTGCTACCCACCGCCACCCGCAAACAAGCGTATGACGAGATCCCTGGAACCTTACTCATTGTCAGAAAGTCGACACCATCAAAAAAGGCAGTGTTATTATCTATAAACTTCTGTAAAGTGGACGTTACATCCCCAGACGGGCGCTCTAATTCGAGCGCATACCGTACGTCTTTTGATTTATTAAAATTTTAATTTCCGTCCCCATTTAGGAAGGTTCATGAAAATATGTTGTATACCTATATCTATCAATACATTTCTTTAGTCTTTTCTACCTGATTATTTATTTTGTGGAAGATAACATGGTGATGCATTATGACACCTGTAGTAGGTATCAAAGAAAATATTTACTAGAGCTATGATATGAACCTACACTGCTATATTAAAGTTCGAATTAAAGTTATATTAGAGTTCAAAAACTTTAAAAAAGCTGATTTAAATGCGCTAAAATATTAAAATAAAATTTTCCAAATAAGCTTGTCGCCAGTTTAGTAGGTACTGGTAGATATAATATTAAAATTTAAAAATTTAAATCAATCCAAAGAAATTGTGTTTATCTACACTGGTAAATCTCGCGACAAGCTTTTATTTTATACTAGCTGTGCCCCGCGGTGGTACCCGCGGTTTATTAGAGATATTTTCCCGCAGTAAAACGTAGCCTATGTGTTAATCCAGGTTGTCAGCTACCTCCATACCAAATTTTATTAAGATCGCTTTAGCCGTTTAGACGTGACGAAGTAACAAACATACATACTCACAGACTCACAAACTTTCACTTTTGTAATATTAGTGTGATAAATTGTGTAAGAACGTTATAAGTTCATAGTAAAAGTTTTAAAGGGAATGTTTTATTCTTTTAGCACATTTTAATAAAAGCCTATCCTAAAATTGTCTAACTATTCGTGTATTGCTACTGTTACAACAATGTTCTTAATAGGTAAAAATATAAGATAGATTAGTAGAACAACAGCATTTATAAATATTCAGAAATACTTTTAAAAAATTTAATTAATCATTATCAGTGATGTAAATTATTTTGGGCATTATTTTATACGAGCCTAGAATAACAGTTGCGTAGGTATGTAGTAGATACAAGTTAAATTTTACGTACTTGGTTTTTGTTGACACTGTGCAGAGGAGGCCATTTGTGGACATTTACAAGTGGGTACACAACCCGATGTTTCATTTAGACGACGATAACCAGACTTGCACACACAGCCGGGCTGAGGAGGTGGCGCTTTTGTACAGTCGTATCTTGCTACTAAAGCCTTGCATGTGTCCGGAGGACAACTTGGTTTCTCTTGCACGAATTCTTCATTTGGATCTTTACAGGTCTGCGGTTGACAATCTGGCGAAGAAGCCAATTGTGGACATTGACAAATAGGTACGCATTTCGATGTTTCGTTGAGGCGCTTATATCCTGATTTGCATACACAGCCAGGTTGAGGAGGGGGTGATTTTGAACAGTCGTATCTAGCCACTATAGAAATACACGTATCTGGCGGACATGTTTTTTTCTTTTGGACAAACTCTTCATTTGGATCTTCACAAGTTTGTTTTGGGCAATCTGGTGATGAAGCCATTTCTGGACATTCACAAATGGGTACACAGCCCGATATTTCATTAAGACGACGATAACCAGACTTGCACACGCAGCCGGGCTGAGGAGGTGGCGCATTAGTACAGTTGTATCTTGCTACTAAAGCGTTGCACGTATCCGGAGGACAGCTTGGTTTCTCCTTCACATATTCTTCGTTGGGATCTTTACAGGTCTGCGGTTGACAATCTGGCGAAGAAGCCAGCTGTGGACATTCACATAGAGGTACACATTTAGATGTTTCATTGAGGCGCTTATATCCTGATTTGCATACACAGCCAGGTTGAGGAGGGGGTGATTTTGAACAGTCGTATTTTGCTACTAAAGATTCACACGTATCCGGAGGACAACAAGGTTTCTCCTGCACAAATTCTTCGTTTGGATCTTTACAGGTCTGCGGTTGACAATCTGGTGAAGAAGCCAATTGTGGACATTGACATATAGGTACGCATTTCGATGTTTCATTGAGGCGCTTATATCCTGATTTGCATACACAGCCAGGTTGAGGAGGGGGTGATTTTGAACAGTCGTATTTTGCTACTAAAGATTCACACGTATCCGGAGGACAACAAGGTTTCTCCTGCACAAATTCTTCGTTTGGATCTTTACAAGTCTGCGGTTGACAATCTGGCGAAGAAGCCATCTGTGGACATTCACATAGAGGTACACATTTCGATGTTTCATTGAGGCGCTTATATCCTGATTTGCATACACAGCCAGGTTGAGGAGGGGGTGATTTTGAACAGTCGTATTTTGCTACTAAAGATTCACACGTATCCGGAGGACAACAAGGTTTCTCCTGCACAAATTCTTCGTTTGGATCTTTACAAGTCTGCGGTTGACAATCTGGCGAAGAAGCCATCTGTGGACATTCACATAGAGGTACACATTTCGATGTTTCATTGAGGCGCTTATATCCTGATTTGCATACACAGCCAGGTTGAGGAGGGGCTGATTTTGAACAGTCGTATTTTGCTACTAAAGATTCACACGTATCCGGAGGACAACAAGGTTTCTCCTGCACAAATTCTTCGTTTGGGTCCTTACAGGTTTTTTTTTCACAAGCTGGCGCATACGCCATTTCTGGACATTCACATAATGGTACGCAAACCATCGTTTTGTCTAGCCTCCGATAGCCAGATTTGCAGACGCAGCCGGGTTGAGGCGGTGGGGCATTTCTACAGTCGATTCTTGCTACTAAAGCGTTGCATGTGTCCGGCGGACATGATGATTTTTCCTGGACAAACTCCTCATTAGGGTCTGTACAAGTTTGTGGTTCCAAAGAACCACAGTTTTCTAAGGATTGTCCGTCTGAAACACAATATTGTCATCTTAATACAAAAAAGTAAAACACAACAACAACACAAATCTTACAGTGTTTACTTCGGGGCTGGGCTAATTGGTGCAAGTGTTAGAAATATTATTTATTTGTTTTCCTAATAATCAATTGACATCAGAGTCGCTTAATATTATCAACAGTATGTAATGAAAACCTGTAAGCATATATGATTTATTTATTGTTTTAAGATTCAATTATTGAATATGTTTTTTATTACTTTGTGCCAAAGTTAATACAACAATCACGTGTTTTAGTTGTTATACGAAAAGTAATGATAATGAGAATAGTGTTTATTACTACCACAAGGCGACATTAATATTTTATGATTTTAGTTAAAAGATTTTTTGAGAATAATGGGAAGGTGTATCTATCTCTCACGGTAACTCAGTGATGTTCTCCACCTCAATGTTACAGAAATACGAGTATATTTTTGTGCTCGAGGTAGTCGTTCAGAGTCGAGTAAAAAAATTGGAAAAATATTATCCAAGAAAAACAAATATGACAGGATATAAGAAAGTATTACGTCTTCGCTAATATGCAAAAGGAAATATTTAAAAACATCAAAGGTTGGAATTTCGGCATCAATAGTTTCCAATAGCTCGATGGCGCAAGTGGTTAGCGCGTTCGCCTGCGGTCGTTGAAGTTGAGCAACTTTCGCAGTGGTCGGTCATTGGATGGGTGACCAAAAATTTACTAACTCAAGCTCCTCCGTGCTTCAGAAGGCACGTTAAGCCGTTGGTCCCGGCTGCATGTGCAGTCGTTAGCACCCACCAATCCGCACTGGGCCCGCATGGTGGGTCATGGCCCAATCTCCCTATTCCATCCATAGGGAAGGCCTGTGCCCCAGCAGTGGGGACATTAATAGGTTGATGATGATGATGATACATAGGTACGTTGGGAACTCTGCAGCAATTAAATGTCAGTAAGTTTCAGTCTCCATATGAAATTATATTAATAACTGGGTACCTATACCTAAGTACCCCCCCCCCCCCCAGGATTTTTAAATGTGTTCTATTCCTTAACGTTTCATCCTGTTCCGAATAATTTCACTTTGCCCTGGTCTAAAAGAAAATTTTACTTGAAAAAAAATCTATTCAGTCGAGGTTGCAGACAGAAAAAGGGAATAGTACCTGGACAGAGACGATTTTTAAAAGTTAAAAAAGTTAAGATTTTAACATACATTGTTTTAAAAATTATAATAACTAAAAAAGACGAAGTTAAATATATTCCTATATTTTTCACTTTTATTTCGTAGTTAGAGTTTTAATGACCGATAAGGCATCACGTTTCATATTACAGGTAGGTAGGTATAGCAATTTTATTGTGATAAATTAACAGCATATTATTATTCAGCTCGGGGCACAGCAGAATGGCAAACAAAAGAACAAGTGTTTATAATGTTATTGGCAACACAGTGTGTTAACTCAGCTGCGGAAACGTGAATGCATGCATATATTTAGATATTAAAGAGAAAAAAATACTCAATGTTTTTCCTCAGACAACAATTACATACTTTTAATTGCTTCTGAGACAATATGCTCGCTGTCCACAAAGAAAGAGTAATGGGGGAAAGATACCAACTATAGTTTTAGCCTTCCATTTAATAAAAACTACGCTCTGCTGATGGTTTTTCAATGCCTCGCGCTCTTTTTTTTTCTTCTGCATTGGTAATAACAATAGTTATAGAAAACGAGCGTATTTGAAAACCTTAGGCGGTCAGAAACAACAAAATGAAATCGTAAGCTATAGCGAAAGCCATAACAACCCCGTTAGGCGAGTGCCCCCCTGGGTCACTTAAAGACGCATGCGGTATTTTACGGTATCACTCAAGGGTTGCCTTCTCGTACCCTACCCCTATTCCCAACCCGGTGAAGCCCTGGCACTTATTCACCGACAGAAAAACAACTCCACCTTTGGGTAGCAACTCCAATTCGATTGCAAAACCCTACTCATAAAAAAAACTTTATCTATAGTCCGAGATCCCAAGCTCACCATTACATTTTTATGTTTAAAAGGTGGCAAATAAACATGTGGCGCGCCTGACGGTAAGCCGTGCCGGCGGCGGCGTGTTTGATTCCCAGTAAGGATCCCATGCTGCCAACCGCTGGATAGGCCCCCCCATCCCAAACAGCCATTGAACCAGCCCTAGGGTTGGCTGAGTGGGTGGGTGGGAGGTAGGGGGAGGAGTCCCATATAATCCCGTCACCTACCCAGCGGCGGGGTATGCGTAACGCATTTCTCCGGTTCAAAAAAAAAACTACGAGTTGCATTCCGGGAGTGCCGGCAGAAGTGAAAACTTGAATATTAACGTTGTGCATTTTTGATGTTTTGGAATAGGTAGGGAATAATTTTGAACGAATTGCTTTAATTATTAGTAAAAAAGTACTTTCATTTATGTGGTAGAATACAATATTTATTTATTGCGCTATCGTATACAAACATGACAATTTATATTACATTAAAAAAGTTTATCTCTCAGAAAAATCAACTTACATGAATCACGTTTAGGCGCACTTAGCGACATCTATTGTAAAAAATCAACTTACGTGAATCACATTTAAGTGCACGTAGCGACATGTTTTATAAAAAAATGTATTTTCTTCGCAATAAAGCTGCCACCTGGACGTCTTAGATAGAGACTTATAATTATAATATGATATAATAAAATATTACTATGTTTCGTCCAATATATTGAAAGTCAACGACCTTTCCAATTTTATTGTTTTCGTCTTACGATCAGGACACGTGGCCTGTGATGCGATCAGGCCACGTGTCATGACACCAGTTTAACATTTTTTACCCATACAAAAAAAAGTGTACAACGCCGCTAAAGAAGTTTTCACTTCAAAAAGCCGCACCATAGTCTATAAACGTTTGCGATAACAAAATAATCACTCGTGATGTTGCCTATCCTGATTCAACCCCTTACTCAATGACAGAAACACAACACCACTCGCCACCAACGTCTTCTGTAAGGTGGAGGAGGTTACTTCGCCAGACCGACGACGCTCCAATTCGAGTGGAGAATCCGCTATGCCCTACCTCTCTTACTTATTTGCTGAAGGGAAAAAGTATGGATAATCGAGAAGTATTAGTGTGTATACATATTTGTTAACTTGTACAATGAACCTATACATATTCGATAACTTGTGCTGTAGGCCAATTGTCAGACATCAGGTGGCACAGGTACGTAAAAATTTCTATCACTTTACTTACAGCTTGAGAACTCATTCTCACTCATGCTGTAGAGAATGTTGTAAAGAATTTTAAATTAGCACATACATACACATATCACATTCGAGTTCATTAGTAACTATCCAAACCAAAGTCGAAACCTTTATTTTTACCTATAAGAAAGAAATAAATAAAAAATGAAAGGTTCCCCGCAAAACAAAGAAAGCTTATTCCTCAGGATCTCTTTTTGTAACATAGAATGATTTATTTTCACATTCCATCGGTTCGATTCCCGGCTCAAGTAGGTTTTCAAAATCTGTAAATGCAGTGTTAATTATTTTGGAAAATAAAATAACGTTTCCTTTTACTAAAATTTGAAACCATCTTCAATATTAAGGGTACTTCTACTCCAACCACGGCCTTTTTTCAACCTTGTATATACAGGCTAAATACAATTCATTGATCAAACTAAATGTAAAGCAAACTAAAAACGAACATTGCATCTCCTAGAGATGAGATAGCAATGATTTACTCGAAGTAGCTGTATTCGTCGACGATTTCTACATCGTAACTTTGAATAGCAGCATTAACGACCAATTTAAAATACCCTTAGTACGAACCAATATAGAATTCTAATAGTTTGTCATTGTCAAATATGTACTGATTTTTAGTTCTCGTTAGGTCCGTTATAGCGTTGCTGTTCAAGTTTCTACAAAAAATTTGACAACGACATTTCGCACTCGCTAACTATTCGAATTCTATATTGGTTCATACTAAGGGTATTTTAAATTCGTCGTTAATGCTGCTATTCAAACTTACGAAGAAGCATTTCATCCTCAAACACCTTGGCATTCTCAGGGACTGTCTGGGTATGAGAGTAACTCAAAGTAAAATTGCAATAGTTTGCACTCGTGTGTTTTTGTTTCGTTTTCTGTTTTTAGGTTCATAAATAGAGTTACAGTAAGGTAAGGTATTTATTTATATATAAGTAGGTACATAATAATTACCTTCATTATATGTCGATGCTGAAGCAGCGGAATGACTTTCCGCCGAAACTGCTACACCTGAAAAAATAGACACTTGCACTCGTGTGTTTTTGTATTTATCTAGACTTGAAAGTTATTTTTTGAACGCTTACTGTTTTTAGTATCATAAATGTGGTTATAGTAAGGTATTTATTTATATATAAGTAGGTACATAATAATTACCATCATTATCTGTCGATGCTGAAGCCGCGGAATGACTTTCCGCCGAAACTGCTACACCTGAAAAAAGAGACACTGGCACTCGTGTGTTTTTATATTTATCTAGACTTGAAAGTCATTTTTTGAACGCTTTGTTCAGAATATGTATTCTATCAGAATATGTATCAGAATATGTTGCTCTGTTTAAGAATATGTATTCTATCCGTTACCCTAGTATCCCATAACATAACCCTTACAGTGCTTACTTTGGGGCTAGGCTAATAGGCTAGTTGACATCTCGAATTGTATTACATAAATGTATATTTCTTAAAGTATTTGGTCTAAGGAACCTAAATATATCGATTTCACTTCATAAAAGCAGAAGATTGCTGTAGAAATTGAATTTTAAAAATTATTTTTTAGTCTATATTTTTTAAACACTAAAAGCGCTGTTCGCCACATCCGTCATGATTGTGACGTCTATTGTAGTAAACAACTAAATGTCATTCGCGTGTTACTGTGGGTGGATTTTCGATTGCGTCTGACTAAATTTATTTTAAAACACTTTTAACTTTAGAAAAGTTTCCGTATACTGATTTATTTTTGACAAAACTAATAATGGATTCCGGCTTCGTGAAAGCAGAAAGCACAAATCTGCCAAGAATTGACGCATTGGTGGTTGGTGAATTTTTTGCACTAAACCCCGATTACTGCTCTGCGGAACAGAGAAACGACAGGGCATCTATGTAAGTACAGTGCATTTAGTATTACGATGTAGTAATAAACATAAAACTGATACAACATATTCATAAAGTTGTGTAGGTTAATTTCTTTCGGCACTTTAATCCACAACTTTCCTGGAGTCTTCAAGGATGTGTTTTTATATTCTCGTACAATACAATAATGATAATTACTTTATTTTTCGTGGTATTTATTAGAAATCATGTTTTTTTTTTATTATAAACTCAGATAAGTATAAGTTATTTTCTACGTGCTTACGAGTTTTTGTTTACTACAGTTGACGTCATAGCATAGAAATCTATAGACTAAAATGGCTGACAGCGTTTTTGTATGTCCATGAAAAGTCTATTTTAAAATTAAAGATTTGTAGCTTTCTAGGTCTCAAAAAAATACAATACATTTTTTTCGGTCTAATAGAACATTTATTTATTTAAAACCTTTTTCCAAAAAGGGTCAACTAGCCTATTGGTGTGACTGCTAGAAGAAGAACCTTGGCATTCCCAAGAACTATCTGGGTATGGGGGTACCTCAAAGTAAATTCACAATAGTTCGCACTCGCGTGTTTTTGTATTTATTTATCTAGATTTGAAAGTTATTATAAAGAAAGCTGTTATAATTTGAACGCTTTTTGTTTTTAGATTCATAAATAGGGTTACAGTAAGGAAAGGTATTTATTTATATAAAAGTAGGTACATAATAATTACCATCATCATCTGTCGATGTTGAAACAGCGGCATTACTTTCCGCCGAAACTGTTACACCTGAAAAAAAATAAGACACTACATAAAAAATATATGGAAACATAGCCCATTTAGGGGGTAGCATCAAATTAGATTATCAAAGATGCGCACACATGATGCAGATATATAAAATCACAAACATGAGATTGAGTATACGTTCATTGACTCGAACATGATTGAAAAAAGTCGAAGCTTCAATGAGGCAGTAATTGTAGTCAGACATTACTGAAAGGTATTAATACCAATTTTAATTTTTCCCGGCCTTTACTTAAGTTGGCACCTCCCTTACCCCGGTATTAACTGACACCTTGCTATAAGTAAAATTACCGTATGAGGTAAAATATGTCTTTGATATGGGCTAAGCACCTTTACAGCTCATTATTTATTTCAAGCATTTAATTGCTAGATTTTTAAATTACTAGAAAACATTCGACACGGTCCAGGCAACAGTCGGGACTCGAAACCGAAATGCCTTGCAGCCTAAGAAATACTAGAAGAAATTCGACACGGTCATTAGGGTCGCGGTAGCATAATTATTATAGGTTAGTGCCCGGATAGCCGAGGGTGCGGGTCCAAATCCAGTCTGGTGTCTGGATTTTGGATTTTTTTCTAGTAAATTTTTCTTTAGCTTTATAGCTATTGGCTATTGATGAAGTACCGTGCATTGATCAAATCTATATACATACTAGCTATCCCAGCGAACTTCGTACCGCAATAAAAAAATAGGGGTTGATTGTAAAGGGTTGAAAATTCAGGCTTATATGTATTTACTAATGCTGTATCATACAAAAAAATAAAATAAAAAAAATATCTAAAATTGAAAAAAAAAAAAATTAGGGGTGGATTACCCTTAACATTTAGGGGGATGAAAAATAGATGTTGTCCGATTCTCTGACCTACCCAATATGCACACAAAATTTCATGAGAATCGGGAAAGCCGTTTCGGAGGAGTTTAACCACAAACACCGCGACACGAGAATTTTATATATCCATACTAATATTATAAATGGGAAAGTGTGTTTGTTTGTTTGTTTGTTTGTCTTCTCTTCACGCCTAAACCGCTGAACCGATTGTGTTGAAATTTGGTAAATGTATAGCTTGAACTTATGAGCCTGCTATAGGCTACTTTTTTTTAATTTATATATTCGAATTTACATAATTTTCAAACTAAATTAATCATTTTCATGGTTGGCCCCGATAGAGATGGCGCTACTGTCACGAAGACAGATTAAATTTGAAATGTGGAAGTTGCTATCTTAACTTAATAATACGAGATGGCACCACTCGTGTTCAATACCGAGTATTTTGTGTTAGTGTTTCATTTATTAAATCGAGGTAATTTTACGCAATTTCTTTCTAATCTTATTTTTAAAATTTAATCTAGCTAATACTACTCCAAATTTAGATGGCGCTACCATCTCGAATACCAACTCAACCGAGTAGTCTCTCTTGAAATAATATTTTCTGAGTAACTTATCAGATGGCACCACCCGTCTTTAATATCAAGAGTTTTTAATTGCTAAAAATGTGAGTTGTGATATTGCGTTTTTTCAGATCGCGATTTATGAACATGACTTTTTAATATTTATTGTTAATTTTAACGTCATGTAGGTAGATATTTTAATTAAAACAATATTAGTAAAAAAAAACGACTTCCTTCAGTGTCCTAATATCTTACCAGAAAATCTTATAAACAGCAAATAGATCTTAAATAATCAGCTGTTTACAGTAGACATATATTAAATAAACAGCTGTTATGATTTATTTTAGTCCCTTAATTGAGTTTTATCCAATAATTTTCAAGTGGAGATGATCCTGGATGTTGAGTAGGGGTAGGCGCTACCAACTCGAATAACAATTCGAAAACCAAGCTGTTGCGTATGAAACTGAAGAGATGTCGCTACCCGAGTCGAGTTTACTTGCACTAAAAATCTGAGGTTTTTCGGATGGCGCTATTCATGAACATTACTTTTTTATATTTATTGTTTTTAACTAGCTGTTACCCGCGGCTACGCTCGCGTGGTTTTCCTATTTGAGGCTATCATCCTCTTTTGACATAGTGAGTAAAAAAGTAGTTTATAGCAACCCAAAGCTTCAACCTATTAGTGCAGTTATTGAAGCGAAAAATACGGTCTTACCTCCGAATTTTTTTACTGTGAACCGTTTTGCATGAAATTTTGGAATTAGGCTCACCTTACCCTTAACTTCAAAAGTGAAAATGATCTGAACTCCGCCTATTATTTTTAAGGGGTGTAAACAACCCCTTAATGGAAAAATTGACATTGAGCCATTTCAGCAGGTAAGCAACACACAAATTGACAACTGCTCGAGCAGTTCGTGTATGTGTGTACGTAGAAGACTGTAGTTCACCACTTAATATGATGTCGGAGCTTGAAGTAGTCCATTCCGAATGACCAAAGGTTGCCCGTCTGACTACATCAGCAAACTTATCTATTTCCCAAATGTACAATACTCAAAAGGGGAGGAGGGCTTGAGGAGGGCAAGGTTTGTCCATAAAAAAGATTCTAACTGATACTCCTTGATTTTTATCACTAAACAAATGATTTTCATACATAAAATATAATTTTACTAATTCTATGCTCCTGTCTTCCTTTTTTCGAGAAGTAATAAAAAAATGTGAAACTTTAAAAAATGTCAATGCGCGACAGCAACAGCTTTTCAAATACCTATTTCTCAAATGACTCTCAGCTCGCATCTGCTCTTCAGGAGTATCGCGATACACCTCCTTAACCATTACCTATACGTTTTATTACCTATATGTTTTATTCGTTCAAAACAGTATACTAAATTTGAAATTAACTAAATTGCGGTACACATTTACAGTAAAAACAACTTCCACAACTTACGACATTAAGCATTATGAAGAAAAATAAGTACGCCTTGTATCAGAAAGTAGACTGGGAAAAATCAATTTCCATACTTTTATACTACTTATACTACCTATACGTATAGTAAGTATACTATACGTAGTAAAAAAGGTTGATTTTAACATAATAAAACTTGATTTTATTTTACATTATATATTCAATTACACTTTAATTGCAGAAAATAAGCTTTTAATATTTTTGATTACTGTAATTTTAAAAGAGTTAAGAAGTACACCGAGAGTTATCAGAGGCCCTACTACGAAACATAAATGAAAACTTTTTGTCACGAAACTGTGATTATAAACAAGTTTTTTTTATAAGACGAGTTCTCTCCCCTTTTTTTCAACACGGTTTTCGACAAAAATGATTTTAGAAAACACACAATTAAACTTAAATTGTTTGCGAATAAATCAGATGCATTACTTGTTGCCATCTAAAATTATTGTCGTCACCAACTTAATAAAAACACAAATAAAGTTGTATATTACAGGAAACATAAACTATTTCGTGCAATAAATAGTGAATAACATATTCGGTTGGTAAGCGTTTTGTAATCGGGCATAACAAATATAACTATTTATGAGTAAATAAAAAAAATGTTAATCCAGGTTGGATAGATAGATAGATAGAAGAGAGGTAGTTATTATTTTGATAAATGATAATTTTTATATACTCATCATTATGTGAAATACTTGGACAAATGGTTATTCGCCCAAGTAAAAGTAAAGTAAAAAGTATTTTTATTAACATAAATGCATACAATTAAAAAACGATGAAACGGTCCCAGTAAGTAATTGTAAAATACTTGTGAAGTGAATATGGAACACAAAACTTTTATACTTTGGCCTGGTATAATATATTTTTCTTGTGATTTATATGTAGGTACCTAATACACGCAGATGATTAATGATAACGAAATGTACAAGTACTTATATAAAATGCAACAAGGTCTATTAAGTAAAAAAACTAACTAACTCGTGTAAGTAAACTCGTGTTTACTTACACGAGTTTTAAGTCTTCTGCTTTTACAAGCATAATTAGGTACTTATGTAGATAATAGATATAAGAATATATGACTCACCATTCGCAGTGGCCAGGCAGTTAACAATAAAAAATAAACTCAAGATCATGTACAAAGAAGACATCTTGTGTCTAAGCTTATCTATGGAAAGATAAGGAAAAGAAAATGTTAATTACATACATTAAATTTAATTATTTATATAAACATCTGGACAAATAATGTATTATTAATTTAATTTATAGTGGAAGAAAGCCCGTAATTTTATTGGTTGCTGTATCCGTGCTGATGCCCACGGCTCGTGATAATGAATGTTACAATGCCGTAAAGCAATCGGCTTTTAAACCACTTACCATATGCTACGTGAATAGTAGGGTATCTAAGTTAAAATTCGCGACCGGTTTTTGAAATTTTTAACGCACTGTCCTAATGTTGGAGTATAATTTTGGAGTAGTCTACCTATGTCAAATAGTTTTAATCTTGGTTAGTTTTAAGTTTGGGTTTTAACATACTAACTTTATTGGTAAAAAATATTACGCCTGATAGGTAATCACACTAATATTATAAAGGCGAAAGTTTGTGAGTGTGTGATTGTGTATGTTTGTTACTTATTCACTTCTAAACTAAAGTAAACGGGAAAATATCCTTAATAAACCGTGGATAACACCGCGGGGCACAGCTTGTAATAAATAATAATGATAGAGGTTTTGGTTTTGTGGGGTCCTCTAATGTCCTCGCATTTTAATAAAAGTAATATCGAAATATTTTTCTAATTAAAAAATCTTTTAGTAAAAATCTTGCAGCAAATTTGCTGAATCTCTAGAACAGGATTTAGCTCCTACAAAAATGTCAAAATTCAGTGCCAATTTCACATTCTTGTATGGCCTATGTATGTCTATGGCTTAACTTATGCTATATAGTATAAGTTAAATAGAGATTACTTTAAGTCGACATAAAATATTGCTAATTAAAATATATTTTATAATTCATTTGACTTTCTACTTAATAATGGTGTAATAGTAAAAAAAAAACTATTATGAGGTCACTTGATATGAGCAGTGGCGGGGCTAGACCACATGTGGACGTCGGTGAGATCAAGTTCGCGAGGCCTATTTTATTTCGCAGTAAAAAACCGTCAAATTAAGTGAGCCAAATTATAAAATAACGTATGATTAAACGAGTTTTATTGTTGATAATCAAATGATGACAAAAAATAATTACAAACATAGAAAGAACAATGTTAAAATTGGCCTAGGAACCAACACCAATTTGGCATTTATGATAATTCTTAGTATATTTTTTGCGATAATTATCAGTATTTAGATTGTGGTGGACACTTCCAGTTAAGTAAGCTAAATTAAAAAGTTAATAAATAATCTGAGACAATAAATATGTGTATAATCTATGACAGCGCTGCAAAAAAACACTCTTCCTAATGCCGGCACTTCACTTGGCTATTCGTATTTGCTACTTAAAAACATGACATCAGTGTGTCCTTTTCATTCCTTATTAATGACAAGGACAAACTGTTGTCAAGTGAAGGGCCGGCATAAACTCGATAATCTGTGGTTGTGGTGCAGGCAGTTTGCATTCATAGTAATCTGTGGCATTCGTGCATTCTCGTCAAAGAGTACTTTTTAAATACGGAAAATTCTCGTTTCGGATTACCTGGTGTGTGTGTTTATTTGCGATTGTTTTCCTTTAATTTAACTTTTACTATTTCGGCTATCTAATATGCCATCGATGTTACCAAAAAGCAGAGACCTTATTACCAAGTGCTAGTGAACCTGTGCCACAACATCCTGAGAGGATCATACTGCTTAATTATTCAAGAACACAACATCCGACATACATTCACGCTGCATATTTACACAATATACATGTGATATACAAATAAATACAATATGATACAATTATGTGAAAAATAGCCAATAAATAATAAGAAGCAAAACTACAGTTTTTATTTTATTCATGATTCCTACCTAACCAAGTTTTTCCTAATAGGTATTCTTTAAAATCGCACCGAATAAAATGAATTAGTTGTAATATTAATTCACCTCAAACTGAGTTCAAAGTAAGTTCGTAGGTTGATCTATGTTTCATTGAATATTAAACATAACCTCAAAAAAAATCGTTTTCCTAATAATTTAAGTTCTCAGAAGTGTCCGTCAATAATCTTTGTTTTTACAGCCATTTACTTGCGATTTCGAAACTAGAAAATAATATTTCATGGTTGTTGGTTCTTAGGCTAACTATGTATGGACGCAGAACAATGTCCTTTAATTACAAAAATAGTGTTGCCAGACAGACGATTCTGAATACCCGTAAAGTACTACTCACTTCCATCACGCACGTGTTCGAAAATAATAAAAGTCATTATCATCTGCTTAGCTTTTTCCCCGAATTGTTCGGGGTCGGCTACCTAAGCCAGGCCAGGATAAACGAAAATAAATAGGTAACTAGTAAAAATTTTTTGCGAGGCCCCCTCAGGCGCGAGGCCGTCGGCGGTGGCCGGATATGAGGAATACCTATATATAAATAATATATATATGAAACATAAGTTGAACTTTTGTAAAGAATCAATGGATTGACTTCTATACATTATCATTTTTATACTTAGATGAAATAAAATCTAACTTTTTATCCTTTAAATTTTCAGCGCCATCTCTGGCACATACATGGTGACATATTGTGTAAAAGCATAGGTGCTAGCAGTTTACGAGAATAGCATGCTGAATAAATAACAAGCATGAAATGCTTGTATCTTACAATAGATGGAGCTGTATAACAAAAGTAGCTTTAATGGAATTTTATTAAAAGATTTGTATTAATGGGCTGATTTTCCGACAAAAAGATTTTCCAACAATTTGGAAAATCAGCCCAGAACTTCTGCACCTACTAATAAATGGTTACTAAAAAGAAATGACATTCATCTTAAAAAAATGCATGAATGACAAATTAAAATAACTCGTCATTTTATTCATGTTATGGATGGTAATTATACAATATGACGAATATTTATTCAGGAATGGAAAAATCAGCTCAAGGGCAACATTAGAGGCAACAATATAAACAAATCAATCGCCCGTCTGGGGAAATAACCTCCACCTTAGTCCACAGTAAAATAACACTATCTTTTGGTGTTGTTGTGTTTCTGTCGGTGAGCAAGGTTGCAGGGTTCCACGGTGTAGGAGATTGGTCCACGGCAGGCAACGGTACGAGTTCTATTCGTAAAATCGCAAGAGTCTGTAGGCTATGTTGGCCGCTTACCTTTAGGGGTGGGTCATTCGCTTGTTAGCGACCATTTTAACCCCTGGTCTGTGTTGCCCTCAAATCTGTGCAGTCTTAAATCCATCCTGAAGAGTTTCTCTACAAACTTATCTATTTATTAGATGTGTAAATTAAAAACCATTAGGTACTAAATATGATAAAACGCAAAATATGAAAATAAATTTCTCAACTCGTGACAGAAATCATCCACTTACACAGACGAGGGGCATAAGAAAAGGAATATAATTCACTAGCGCGCTCTAAAAGTCATTCAGGTCATTTAGAAGAAAATGTACAAGATAGCCTTTGTTAATAGAAAAAGCACTCGTTCTGCTGATTGTCATATCGTTCTTTAAATGCAAAGCCAGATGGTTCGTAGTAGGCTACTCGATCTCGTCAGAGTTCCGTACCCAAACAAAACGAAGCATGCCAGGAGGTTTATTAATAAGCCCTTACTATCTAGGTCACCCGTCCGTCTGTCCGACCAAATGTTAACCAGTCAGTTTATTTGCAAAGTTTTTATCTAAGACATTAATATACTGTTGTTAAGGATTACAGCTTGTCAATAAATAATCTCAAAAATAAATATAAATAACGCAGATTTATCACGGGTATGCCATCAATATACTCTTGATTGTGACGTTAATACCTGACGCCTGGGATCCATATATTTAAAAAACAACCACTCGATTTCCTATTTTAAATATGGACCAATATTAACGTGGAGAGGTTATAGACAGACAGAAAGTCAAAAAATCTTTCGCATTTATATTCTTAGAATGGATTAGTATGGACGGATGAAAGTTGAGTGCCTAATACTATAATAACATTGCAAATAAACAAATTGAATAAGTCCAATTTCGAAGAAAGAGAGTGATTCACTATATTGTAGGAATATGTATCTAAGTGACCTTGTTTACCTTAATTCAGGAGTGAAATTTCATCATAGCATAAACGTATCTGGGTTAATAGTCGGAGTCAATATTGACAACCTTGCACCAGAAAATGTTCATTGTTTTGCATTGACGGATCAAGTTACATATCTATATTACTTATATGGAATACTAAATGAAAAATTGAGCAACATTCGTTTTGAGACATCATCAACCTATTGAGCACCCTTCCCTATGGATATATATAGCGAGATTCTATCATGCATGACCCACCAAACGGGTGTACTGCGGATTGGTTACTAACGACTGCAGAGCAGCCAGAACTAACGTACTTTCCGAAGCAAGGAGGAGCTCAAGAATCTCAAGATACGTAGTTAATTTTTGATTACCATTGCGACATATAACTCTTTAATCTTTTCAATGATTAATTGTCTGTCACCAGGCTGTCTCATGAACCAAATAGCTAGACAGTTGAAATTTTCACAGATGATGTAGTTCTGTTGCAGCTATAACAAAAAATACTAAATACAACGAACATGATTTTTTGCTCTTTATTAATAACGGCAACAGGTAGACGCTTGAAATAGCTACAGAATATTTAGTTGTATAATATTTACTTTAAAAATAAATACTTAAAATAAATATTGAAAGGGGGTGCCCAGGGGCGCAAAAAACGGTTATAAAATCAAGTCAGTTGTATGGAACAGACTTCTTCATGTCTTGCCGTTTTTTTATTCGATGTTATAATAAAGTGTCTTATGTTGTATAGATAATGGTACGGACCTATTGTTCTTTCCTATTTCATTTTTGTGAACTTGAGAAGGACTATGCCTATTTCATTCATCTTTTCCGAAATTTTTAATACACTGTAGAAGGTTCTTACAAATTCACAAAAAACAAACAAATTGTAAGTAGCACGTAACTAAGGTTGACGGGGACTAAGTCACTATTATTTTATTATCTGTGTGTACCAGCAAGGAAACATACAGAAAAACAACACAAGATTTATAAATGTATTGCATCTTTCATAATGTTAAATAATATTACAGTGTAATCATGACCGTATTTTATGTATGCATATTTATATAAATATACAAATTCTGTCTCCTGATCCTATCCTCTAAATTCCGATCCATCATGCATCAATTTCTTACTAATTTTTCCCTACCTAATTATAATATTTAATATATAAAAAAACACACAAAACCTGACGGTGACGTCAGGCGGCTTGACAGCATATGGGGCTCAAGGTTAGTGGAAGATTTGTTATCAACAAATTTAAAAGTTTATTATTCCTTCGATATGCTTTTGTTTTAATTGGAATCACCATATAGGGAAGTGCCCTACACTCCGAGAAAGCACACATACATGGCTTTTAATAACATCCAGATTTCTTCGATCTTTACGATCAGCTTAATCCTTCGGCTTAATTTTAGGGAGGACGTAGTTTCACTCTATATTCAAGCATGTCTCCCTTATAGGGGACCGTCATAGAGCTCCCGAGCTTTATTTATCCTGACTCCAAACTACCGTGAAGCTCAGGAAACCTCTCCAACTGTAGGAATCATATAATACTATTAATATTTGCTATTTCTCCGCAGTCTTCTGTAAGGATGAGGTTGCTTCCTCAGACGACCGCTCCAATTTGA